ATGTTACCAAATTTTCCGGTCATTATTCCTTCAGGCCTTATTGTAAAGAAATGGTCTGCCTTGCTTCCAATTAGTACATGCTGTCCCGTAGATTTTTCTTCCACTATTTTTATAGTTTATTTAGTTAGTTATCTCTTTTTCCTTTACTGCATGAATTATAATTTTTTATGTCTTTACATATTACTGCAAATCCTGGCAGGTTTGGAACTGGGTCACCCTTAAGTGGAAGGAAAGATATAGGACAACCAGAGGAACAAAAAAGGAAGGCCCGAGCAGAGAGGTGCTTATATTTGGTTTCGACAATTTCATCCTTTTTCCCCCTAAGATCATATATTTTGTGAAGAAGCGTCTGAGACCACTTGCTTTCCTTGTTTTAGGTTTGGGCTTAAGATAGATATAGTAGTTGATGAGGAGGCAAAGAAGAAAGCTCGCTTGGAAAGATTTGCACCAAAGTCCATGATGGATACTTCAGAAGTGGAGAAAAGAAAGGCAAGAGCAATCAGGTGATTAATCTTTTTCTTCTTTTGGATGCTGTTGTCTCTGTTTTTGGTGCTATTAGATATAAGAAAAGAGAGTGTTTTTCTTAATTACTTTTTAAAGCAAGTTATTACATCTTAACTTAAATTTAAATGTCTGAAAAAAAGGGCTCAAATTCTTAATGGTCTTGAGCCTGATCTTACGGGTCACTGGTTTTCATCACAGAAACTTCTGGAAGTAGAAAGTTACGATGTCCAAATTTTCAGAAACCATTTGATCTTCATAAAAGAGGATTAGAGACAATGTAACTAAATATGTTTCATATCTTGGTTTCATGTATGTATGCATAAGCTTCCCATCCTAACTTGTCTGCTTCTGGAGGAGGCTATATTTACATTTATCAAAGGTCGACTTAACCTCAATAGCATAATAAATCAGGAACTTGTTTCTCTTCTCGCACCAGCAGTAGCTGAGCTGATTGTACTTCTCTATATTTTCATTTCAGGTTTTCACAAGGCTCACCTCAAGTTGGCGGCCAATCCAACTATGATCTGGTAGGTTTTTTGTAGCTCAGTATCATTCTGGATGCCAGAGAATCATGGTCAATTTTCTTAAGTTTTTACTTCTTTTTTTATTTACTGAAACCAGAAGGCAACAACAGTAGCTCACGCTTGACGGAGCTCTCATGATATAGAGGTTTTCATGTAAGTTACCGTTGCGATCCCTTCTCCAATTAGCATCCTCCATATGTATATTATGCATGGTTGAGATTGCGTCCAATGACCCTCCGTAGACTTACATTGGTAGGAGCCCCGTGGGTGCCCCCTATTCTTTAGCATCATAAGTTATTTAGTCACTTCTTGGTTAATCTTGTTTGACAGGCCCCCATATCTATTTTATATTCTTGTATCTGCCAGAGCTTTGGTGGTTGGTAATCGGGAATGCAGCATATTGAAAGAGTGGCACAAACTATGGCGAAGAAGATTTTGATATCACCAATGGGCCTCTTTTTTAATGTATTTAAGTATGATTCTAACTAACGTGATTAGGAACTCAAATATTGGCAGACTTGCAAAGCTTGTTCTTAACCTGACTGTAGTTGCAAAGAAGGTTGTTTGAACATGGATTCTACTCGTCAGAGTAATTGGCTTGCCAGTTAATCATGGATACTTAGAAACACAGCCTTGGGTTGAACACTTGTATGGTGAATACAGTATTATTAAGGAGTATTAGTGTTTCTGGTCTGTCATTTGGAATCAAATATTGAGACAAAAATCAAAAGGCCATGAACAAGGATTTTTGAAGCTGAATATAACCACCCTACCGAATTAAATAGCAACATAATTAGATTCATTCGTCATTACATCCTGCAGCTGAATCAATTGGGTTACATGTTTGCCATTAGCCTAGAATGATTTTGTTGTTGTCCATGATATTTTGACTCATGCAGTTTAGTATCACTGATAAAAGAAAAAATTAAACTGTATCTACATCAGTATCGAGCTATATGTTTTAACACTGCTGATCGATATCGAATGGATCGATCCAAATAGTATTTAAAACCTTTCTCTTAGGAACATTTATTTTCTTTAAAATTATAGATGATCAAACTATATAAGTCTTCTTCGGCAAATGCTTGATGTTTCTGATGAACCAAGCCGGTAAGAGAATCTTTTTGCATCAGTGTTAAAATCTGTAGGCATGTTTCTTGGAGGAACTTGTTCCTCAAGAGTTGACACTGAGAGACCATGGTAGAACTATTTACCTAACAGAGTGGGGTCCAGAAATTACAAAGATGACAAATATATCATCACGAAAGGGTGAATTCCAATGGTGTCTCATTATGTCAAGTGTGCCAATTTTGGACCACAGAAGGGGATAAATAACTTGCAGTAATTTTTTGAACAGTTTAGGAAACTTTCAAGTATGATGACACACTTATGTTGATGATTTGTTCTGAATAATAAGGTTAAAAACATCAATCATTTCTAACTACAAAGAGACCAAGCATTAGTACTCACCTTATGAATAAATAGGTAGCCATGATGAAACTTCTGTTGCAAAGCTTTGTGGATGACATGCAAGACTATCCTGTTTCTCCAAATCTCTGAGCTGCAGTGTGGTGTGCCATTTTACCTGGTGAAGGAAGTCAACTTTAGTCTTCGAAGTTCCATGACTTTTATGAGTGCCCCTTGCATTTCCATCACTGCTAATAAACTGTAAAAAAAAAAGTATTGAGATGAATGTTAAAAATATAAATTAGATCATATTTTATGTATTGCCTTAAAATTCTACATGGAATGGCAATGATAAAAAATACTTGGCATATCACAACGAGACCTGATCCATCATTCTTGAGCAATATATTGGAAATCTATAACATGTATACATACATATATATAAACCATAATACCAATATAGATTTGAATAAGTCATTGATAAGAGTCTCTCTGGCCAGCCAAGAGCTGTTCTGGAGAGTAAACATTAGCTTTGCTCCCCAGAGAGAAGAGTAGCAGCTCTTTAACATTTCTCAGAGCAGCAAGAACATGATGCACATCCTCCTTGTCCTGCAATTTGGGTGCCTCTGACTCTGGTTGTCTACATCCTCGAATGAGAGCCAGCATTCTCTCTTCCTTGCTACCTTCGTCCATTGATGTCTCTTTCTTGTTGTAACCACAAGATGTCCTGCTTTCGAGATACAAGAGGTTGGCATCAAGAAGCTTAAACCATGGAACACCAGTTGGATGATTTCACATGCATTTTTTTTATTTTTTTTATCTGTCTTTTGTTTAGCTAGCATCTGAGCACCAATCTTTTCTTTTTCTTTTTCCCCTTTTTAGGGTTTTGCTGTTCTTGATTGCTGCTACTCAACAATTAAACTGGAAAGAATGAGTGAAAATCCAGAAAAAATTATCTGTGTAGAAAAATTATCAAACATCAAAGAGAATTAAAAGGGATCTAATTATAGAGACCATGTTGTAAGTCTTTTTTATTTTGTGTTAGCAAAATAGGTGTAAGTGTTATTATTTTGTGTGTGATCATCACAAAAAAAAGAAAACACAATGATCTGTGACAGAAGACATATAAGTTGCAAACATACATACCTTGAAGCATCAGTAGACGATTCCTGAGACCTGAACTCGGGTTCATCCTCAACATGGTCCTGCACAGTCCCCACCAGACTGCATCTCCCTTCATCACCTGCCATCCCTTCCACCTCTTCCGATAGCCGACATTGTCCCGAATTCACCGTGGCCGAGCATTGTGAGGAAGAGCAGCTTCTCTCTTTCGCGAGCTTAAGTGACTCCAGCTTCTTCAGAGCATGCTTCAGCCTCTTTTCAGCTCTTCTTCTGCACCTGATCTCCTCAGCCAGCTCCCTCTCTAACTCCTCCAGCTGCTCAAAACCAAGCACACAAAATGAGCTCAGATGGAACGCTTCTCTCTGTTACTTGGTGATGATGATGGCGTAGAAAAGAGAAGAGCACATACCCTTTTGGCCAGGTTCTCAGCTTCCTCCTTGGCCGCCTTGGTGGCCACTCTCTCTGCTAGCAGCCTCCCTCTCAGACTGTCCACGATCCTCGACCCAACATCCTGTTTGTCTATCTGTTGTGATATCTCCATCATCTCTGCTAAGATCAGACAACAAAGGTACGAAAATAGCAGTCATCGTGGAGAGATAAGGATGGAAGAGGAAAGGGATTGGTTACCTGCATTGGCCATTTAACTCCAGCATCTCGTTCTGCAAAAGCTTCATGCCAAAGGCAGCAAACGCATGGAGATTATTAAGGAAGGCCGAGAACAGTTAGTTTCCTTTCTTCTGCAGGCCTTTGAGCTCTCCTGCTCTTAATTGCTGGGGTTGTCCTTTGCGCTCCCCTCTCCCTTGCCTGCTCTGCCACCTCCGGCAGTTACGACACACTAAGGTCATGGGTTTCATGGATGGGAGCGGGGCGAGGAGGGGTTCGCTGCGACAGGAGAACGCCGCAAGCAGGTGAACGGGTGGACGCTCGTGAGGGGCGCTGCTGGAGACCGGTGCTCACGTGAGCACAGTGCGATGACGTTTAGCTGTCTTTAATGCCATCCCTCCCTCTCTGCTCTCTGCCTCTCTGCTCTCTGCTCTCTGCTCTGTCTTCGACCTCCGGATTTTAGGATCTAAAAACGCATGGTTGATTCTTAGATTCTGCATCCATCCTATACGAAGAATCCACAAAAACCACAGTACAAGTCTCATGCGGCAGTGAGACTTACTTCTTTACCATCTGAATAATTTAAGTGCCGTAAAGTAGCAGAAACAAGATGGCCTCTTTGCCTGTGCCGTAAAGTCGCTCATTTACCCTTCGAACAATGTTTTCAATCACTGGCTTGTTTTATTCTACTATTTCCCGGTCCACAACATACGTGTTTTCGCAAACACCACCTAAAAACAACATTATGTTATCCTCTTCTTCTTCTTCTTTTTGTCATTTATTTATGAGAAGCCATACGATACTGTCACTAGTTCTTAAACAAACACTATCAAAAGGACCTTCATATGAAGAATTTATGTATTACCAACCAAAATATCCAAACGCGATTAAGAACAAGAGTAGCCCCTGACTCACCTTTTCCCCGGTTGGCTATACAAATCTGCTATCCAGTCAACCTCCCATAACTGTTTTTTCTTTTTCTGCGTTATTATTTTCTGAAGCAAATGCTTGATTCTTTTGGGATGCTGACAGTACTAACTTGAGATACAGTTTGTGCGCACACACACCAAGCAAAGAGTTCTGCCAAAAAGATCAAAGAATTCCGGTTTAAATACATATACATTTAAAAACTGTATGTATGAGTGTAACATTTTTATCAAAGAGCAAGCTATTACATCTTAGTATTATGTAGCACCACAATTGAATAGAACATGCAAAGAATAAAAAGAAGTTAGCAATCCGCCTCGGAGCGCCTGCCTCTTTTCTGTAACCAACAAAGAAGCGACTCCCTTGTGACCTTTATCACTCCTAAATCCTGTGGCCTCCTGGCCTGGAGATTTGAATCTGGAGGAAGAATCAAGGGGTTGCATAAGAGATGGTCAGGTGGGCCATATCTGGTCCTAAAGTCAAGGCCCAATTCATCCTGCAATACTTGGGTTATACTTTGTCGCACATCAACTTCGTGGCCAGTTGAGTTCATCATCTCTTTGCTAATTTCAGTAGTGATGATCATATCATCTTCAATTGATTTTCCTGTACAAGTACACCAAGAAATTTGTTATTTTGCTTAGAAAGGTGTATCACTGTATCATATAATAAAGCTTTGACTAGACATGTATAGGGTACTTGGACGCCAATTGTAATGCAAGATAGAACTGGAATACTTCTGTCGGCAATTGTAAGCTGAAGCTGTTCAAGGTAATATGAATGGCCAGAATTAGCTACACTAGCAAGCTACTCGGGAATTGGGTGACAATGCAGCAGAAGTGGAATATTTCAGTCGAATTAGCTAGTTTTTAATGTAGAACTGGAATACTTCTGTGGATACACATCTGGAGGATATTGACATGGAACTGGAGCCATGGCCACTAGATGTTGACACTTGACACAACTAGGCAGAATAGAATTTTAAAATACATTTTAAAAGCATCTCGCATGAGCTCATGTTGTTCATTGATTGATGCTTATGTAAGGCTAATATGTTAAAAATTTTCTCAAACAGCAATGGTGGCAACATCTACCGTATAATCCTTTACCTAGCATGTAGTTCTCCTTGATCATCTGCAGAACTGAAAGAACAACAATTCGAGCTTCAACCTGCCAGCATGTTATGGAAATGCATCAGAAATCATGGTAATAACAATAATACTAGTGAATGGTTGATTGTAGCAACAATAAATGGAAGCGGGAATTAAGATACCTAACTACTGAAAAATTATTTGATCAAGTTCATGAAGCAGTGATACAGTGTTAAGGCCCCTCAAATATAGATGTCCAGTATGAAGACTGGAAGGTAGTCAGATCATAACTCAATAAAATCTCACCAAAAGATGACAGATAATTCTGGATAGAGCAGAAGCAAGGCTAGGTTTGCCCCCTTTTATCTTTTGATGAATGTTATGTTTATCATCATTGAATAAATGGATTCAAGTAATAAAATACAATCAGATCCCTGATTTTCACAGGCAAATATGAAATGCATATGATGAAACAAGTAGTAAAACCTAACAACATGCAATATCCCAGAATGAATGAGATTTTGCTTACATGATGATTTGACAATAACTGCAATGTTAAGATTATTTATGGTACTTTACAATTATAATCAACCTTGAACTGTAATCATATTGTCTTTTCATTTTTCTGCTTTGATAACACAGAAAACTTGATAAATAAAGACTTCATTGCAAATAGTTTAATCAGCACTAGATAATCCTCATCAATTTGCAATGTATATAGAAGTACCTTTGTGAGCCCCCGAATATCAATAGCTTGACTGTCACCAGCATCTCTTTGCAAGTGTATTGCTACCTTCTCAAGAAGCAAATTATATGGCTTTCTCGAGTTGGCTTCACTATAATTGTCAGATCCAAGCACGTTGTGGCTTTGATCTTTGCTGCACAATACTCCTTCACACCATTCTTCGATCAATTCCTTTAGATAATAGTCATTGGATCGGTACCTGCATATTGGATAAGAACCAACAGAATTATTCTAACCATCTACAATTATTCTGTTTATGTTTTATAGGCACATAGAAAAGATCTAATTAGTTCAACCACCTTGATAAGCATAAAACACACTGTATTCCAATTTTTTTACACAACTTTATTGGCCAACACGATATAATGCAATATTGAGTCTGACTAAAGCAATATGATCAATACACGTGTTACTTACTGGCATGGCCGAGGTATGTGATAAATTAATCTTTGCCTTGGTGTAAAGAAATAGAGATGAAATTAAATGGACTGAAAACTCCTTAGAGATAGAAAAGAGGGAAAACTCATATAGCCCCTAATCCCTGACTTATCCAGAGGGTTCTCTATCTCATTGCTTGTAGAAATATAAAATCCTAGGGGTTTCAACTAGTTGCTTAGACAAATAAGGCACATGTCACACTGATACTTCACACTATAGAATATGTTAGCCCAAAAATATGTAATCAACAATCAACACATGGCACTTTCAGGACTAAGCATAAGTGTTCATTACAAACTTGGACAAATAATGACTACTTCCAACAAATAACAGATCACTGAAGACATGTCTGATAAAAAGGAAATCTCACAATAGTGCTAAATTCCTTATCCATACCCAGCTTTTCGCATTTCTTGATATATCCCAAGACATTGTTGAACTTCATGTAAAGATCCATATTTGTTACGAGCTCTCAAAAGAGTATTATATGTCACCTGAAATGCCAGCATCACTGAATGTCAGACTTCTATAAGGATCATAACTCAGCTGAAATAGTAATTTCTAACATTTAACAAAATTTCAATCCTCCTACAAAAAGAATAAAGAAAAATAAGACTAACAGTGACTGTGACTATGAATTTATCATATCACAAGTGAAAAAAATTTCACCATAACACTATGACATACTTCTAAAAGGAACACATGTCAGCTGTGATAGAAATTTCAAACATTAACAAATTTGTAATTGTCCTACAAAAAGAACAAAGAAAGTGAAGACTATGGCAATTCTGACTATATTTATTATATGACAAGCGAAAAGATTGTCTTGAATTTAAAACTATGGCATCCTTAATTTCTCCCACAGCTGAAGTTAACTAATCAAATAAATTAACCAATTTAAATTACAAATGTTATAACTGTCAATCTTGAACTATGTAAGCTCACAAGTTTACAGATGAGAATCTCCATATTAGAAGCATGATTTAACTGGAATATGAATTACTTTGATGCTTATAACAATAAAGTAGAAGTTACCAGCGAAAGAACTACTTGCCCTGTGATATTGTTTAAAGTTAAACAAAATCTTCAGACTAAAATCATAGTACCCAAGGATAACAGACATAAGGGGAACAGTATCTAACATATGAAACAGTGGATATCTGAGATCTCGGATCAACATAACCATCTGAAGCTTATAAGCTTTTACTGTCACTATAGAATTGCTTAATGGCAAAACTAAAAAAGCAAAAAGACCTTATAAATGAGTTGATAAGATTCTACAACAGGCTCTCAGTAAATATGACACCAACAATATAAAGCTGGTCCTGACTTCCATGCAAAGGCAAAACTTAGACAAGAGAGGATTTGCTAGAATATTAACAGAAAGGCAGGAAGAGAGCTGCCTTAGTGGTAGTCCTCATACTGCTAAAGACTTGGAAAGAGTGTTGAAATGGCCATGCGGACATGCTGTACAGATAGGAAATTAAATCCATCCTCAAACAATCCCATCAGACAGTTAAATTAAAGTTGTATTACTTGTCCTTTTGTGTTTCACAACTTTGCCAATCAGATATTCTTCATAAAATCAGTGGCCAGACGTAGGTAACAAACCCATCGAGGTTCATCATATCAGGGAAATGATACCATCTAGGCTGAATGATCATACTAACTTGATATAACATATCTGATTCAGTCACTGTCCAGTAAAAAAGCCAAAATGCAACATACAGAAAACTATAGATGAAAACTCACCTAGTGTCGTCTGAAAGGTAGAAGAAAACATAAAACTACCTCACCTTAATAATGAGAATATTCTATAGTTACTTCATACAAGCAATCCTATTATCAGACAATAATAAAAGCTTACCCAGTTTGGTCTTATTTGATATCTTTTCATCTCTTCAAACAAAGAATACGCCACTTTCAAATTATTGTTCTCAACACACGCCTGCGAATGAAAAGCTTCAATTATTAGCTCCTAGAAGTTTTCCAACAGACATGCGTTAGATATATTAAGCATATTAAGACTCAGTTGTAACTCTAAAATAGGTTTTGATAAATCAATATGTTTATGGCATGAAAACTGCATTCTTCAATCAGTTTCATTCAACATAATTTGTCATCTTCTACCAGGCATAAGAGAGTGAGAAACTGCTCATATTTTAAATGCTTGTGTCAAGGACTGTAATTTTGTGTATCAAACCTGTGCCGGTCACTGGCATAATTTTTAATGCTTGCACCTTATGGTGCATAGAAAGTCAACAACACACTAACATATGCCATAGTTAAACCAATCTGTCAATACGACCATCAGCAGCATCATACAGCCAAAATAAAAGAGCAAAAGCAATTGTACTATCTAACCAAGAATTGCAGTTCTGCAATAACAAGGAGGGCATATCAAAACTGATGAACTCTAGCTGATGTTCAATATTTCCATAAACTAAAACAAATAAGAATCAAATTCCTACAAACCACAAAAGTATAAGAAATTGCCTACAGCAACTAAAAACTCAACTGCTATTAAATACAGTGACAGCTCTCTATAACCAAGTTGAATATTGGAGAGTCCTTTCCAAAGACCAAATGTACAAGATCAACTCCAAGGAAATGATGATGCATTAGTTTGGTACAAGCAGCAGCCCACTTTGGACCTTAAGAAACTTTTCCACAAGAAATGTGTTTTTCCTGATTATGAATATTGATTTAATCCTTCATCCTTCATGCAAAATGATGGTAATTTTAATTCATTGTATATTGATTTTGTACATCACGCAAGGTGCATTACCTTTGCCACAATAAACAATAACAGAAACCAACAAGAGTATCTGTTTCATTGAACAATTTGTGGCTATCTCTGCCTTCGAATCCAGGAAATAGTTGAAGTACATCACATGTCAAAGTTATTTTTTTTTATTCCAATAGGCAAACGTCAGGACTAATGTTTTGGAACTTTAAAGTTTGAACTAAATCTACTTGCCAAGCATGAATAATTACACTAAACCAACAAATCTCAAAGCAAAGAAAAACAGGGCAAGCATAAAAAAAGACATCAGAAATTACTAATATTACTATGGTGCATCTAGAAATATGACATATTTGAGCACTTATCAATAACCAACCTTGATGGCTGTAGTATACGCAACAACATCAAGTTTTATACCTACATCTCGTAAAGCTCTAAATGCCTGTGTAACATAAGAAAAAACAAAACGTGTAAACAAAAAAGGAGTTCAAAAAATACAGATAGTAGGATTCTGAAAAATATTCATCAAAAGTAAAGATAACAAGAAGAGCGAACTATTTAAATACAAACAAAATTTACAGAGTGGACTCGGTTCTTTTTTGGCAAAATTAAGAAAAGGTAAAACATTAGATATATGTATGGGCAAGCACATGGCATGCCATAAAGGTAACCCTCACAACATTTAAAGTATGTCTATATGTTAATCAAGAAGAAAATGTGATACAATATGAAGTCCCTCATTACAAGTAAAGCTATGTCCAGATGTGTACTGAAATAGTCATTGCGACTAAGCCTTGGAGCTGGAATTGGTAACCTTAGTTGTTTCATTATCTTTTACCATTTAAATTTTCTAAAAACTTCCACTGCTGGATAACCCAAAGCACCTATATGAAAGCAAAGCAATAGGAGACTTTTAGTGAGCCCAACAAACATTAACACATGAGAAACAGTATTCTTACCATTGTGGTCAACTCTCATAGTAAGCAAAAACTTATACATAGTGAAAAAGTAAATAGCATGATTTTTATGTTCCACATTTTTCCTCTTTTTAGGAGAATGATCTTGTGGAGAAGTTCACCAAGACTATAAGTGATGTTGTTATTCAGAGAAAATGTGCATATTGAATATATGGCATGCACTTCGGATGTAGGTTGCTTGGGGCTGTTCATGTTGGACGTATAGTTATGTATGTATATGAGTGTACATATTATTCTTCCATTTAACTGACCCAAACAGTGTACCTCATGGTGTGAATAAAGCTCTTCATATCCTGAATCTAGTTTAAAAATCAATCTTCTACCAAAATATTTGCATGATACTAATTACAATAGGAAACAGAAAATTCTATCTTTCAGAATTACTCTCTTAAGCAGGCTGCTTTATATATTAGAAATAAAACAAAATAAGCTAATAGTATTACTATATTAAAATCAGAAAAATTAGAAATATGGAACATAAACAATTAATAGAGGATTGATTAAATAATATTGGATTCGCACAAAATACTTTACCTACCCCTTGTTAGCCTGCCTGCTCACCTGCTCTGCCCATGTGGGTTCCATTGTGGAGCCATTGTTGCATTCAGCAGCAAGGGAGGTATGACAGGCGAATAGGAGAGTAGGTTAGTAAAAGTATTAATCAATTCATTCAAGAAAAATGTAACTAGGACTCCTAGGAGTAGTCATTGTGATTAATCATATAAATACTTAGGGAATAAATTATGGGTGAGACATCTCTCCCACACACTCCTTAGTGCATATCATCATCTTCAGCCCTCACAATTTCCTTGCCCTCTCTCTCAGTGCACGATTTAAATCAATGGTCTCGGGAACCAACCTTTTGGTTTTATATCCTGGACCTTCCAGATATCCCTTGAAGAGCTTAGGGGACAAACAACAACTTAAAGGAATGTCCCACGAGGGAGCTTGGAAGGATACATCCAACACCTCAAGTTTCCGAAAGCTTTAGATGTAATTGCAATAGAGATACAATTGTTTTCTTAAGTAATCAAAGTGTTGTAACTTCAAATGATGAATTCACTCTCACAGACATCTAAAATTGAAGACAAATAACCCCTGTTTGAACACAGTCACCTGAAGTAGAAACATCCCTTAAAAAAATATTAACAAAGACCAGATTTAAATAGATGGCAAAGAGGAGGGTCAAAGAAAGCACTAATAAAATTGCCATTGAAACATATATTATATGGAATTCATAAGTCTTCTGGTTGTTGACCAGGATTAAAATATTTGTTATTGGCATTAACAAGAACTAAAATTCTGAAGCACCATACAGCTCTGGACTGATAACATGAAACTTGGAATAGTGCATATCTAAAAGAGTCAGGTAATTATAACAATAGCTTAAATATATTACAAGGTTATAAGACAAAAAATGAGCTAATGTATAGTAAGAATATGAGACAAATAAAAGTACAAGAACCAGGATTGCAGACTGCAATATATAACATTCTGCAGAAGATACCACTATCACAAGAAATAATAAGCAACAAACAACATATGTAAGTTAAAACTAACCTGCATAGCCCCTTTAATATTTTGGGCAGCTCCATATATACCAATGAGGGTAGACCAGCTTATGTGGTTAGGAGTAAGGCCCATTGTCTTCATCTCATCCATCAAAGCTTTTGCACGGTAGTAATCAGTACCACAAGCCTTCATCAAAATATTAAAAGTGAAAACTGTTGGCCTGAAGGGAACCACTGTGGCCACATGATAAGGTTTTGTGTCTTGCACTGATGATTCATATGAAGTATATTCATCCCTACTTTTAATTGCTAAGCTAACATCCCTAAAATCACATTTCATGTCTTTGGTAGAAAAAGGAATCTGGAATCCAGTTTCTTTCCATGCATAAAATAACCGAAAGGCTCTATCATATTGGCATGACTCAACACAAGCATGAAGAAGAATGTTGCAACACTGAGCATTAGGTTCACAGCCAGTCATAAGCATTTCCTCAAATAGCTGAATGGCACGATCAACAAGACCAGAATTGGCACAAGCACTCAGCAACGATGACCAAGTAACTATATTTGGATTAACATTGGCAGACAGCATGTTTTCCTTTATGCTCAATGCCATCTGCCACATTTTTGCATCTGCAAAGACCTAGAATCAAAAGAAAAGTGAAAAATTAATCATATCCTAAAGGGGGGAAAAATGGTATGAAGGCATACTGAAAGTTGTAGCCCCTTAAAAACCATCAAGACACTCCCACTAACTTTTATCATTGTAGTATATGTGAAGACGTCCAACTTAAGCGCTCCCTTCGATGCCATGTATCTTATTTCCCCATATATGTTTTGAGCCAAATCAACCCTTTTGGCATTACAGCATGCCTTCAAAAGTATGTTGTAAGATGTTACATCTGCAGTGACTCCTAGATTCTGGATATTTGCAGATATGTAAGCCAAAATTAGTCAATGTACCAAAAATATTACTAGGAAAAATTATAGCTATATCACCATGAGGTATTGAAAAGCTTCTGGAGCATGAACTTTGAAGTACGGTAATAGCTCAAAGACATAGAAAGTAAAAGAACCTCAGTGTCTACGAGAAAAAAGATAACAAGCTATCACAATAAAAATATATTACAAGGCGATCTAAAATTGATTATTGCATAGCATTTTTCATCTATTGAATACATCACACAGTGTTTAACAGCTTATGACAAGCTTTAAAACATGTTCATATATTGTCAAGCAATTTGAATCACGCTTACCAGCTTAAGAGAAGTGTAAAGTGTAAACGATAAACAAAAATGGAAGGTGTCAAATCACTTGTCATATCAGTATAATAAGAATAAACAACCTACCAATTAACAGCAACATAAGGTATGAGATGGCATTACTTGCATATGCTTGTAAACACCAAAGGTGTAGCTCATATCATGGGCATTCGCATTCATAAGGCTGTTGAAAACATATACATTTGGAGTTATATTCTGAGCAAGCAACTCCTGCATCAATATAACCGCATGCAAACAAATAGTTAATATCACATACAGAAAAATAACATATATTGACAATTTGACCAACAAATCTCCAAATAAATGTCCGTAGTTGAATAGAGATATGCAACTTACAATAAATATATCTAGATGTCAGAGCAATAAAAGGACAAATAGCAATCCTAGCATGAGCCTGCAATATGCTTTCCTTTGTATGCATCAATAGAAAAACTATCTAACAAGTATCTATCTCTAGGTGGATAAATATCTCCAAAAATCTCTTTTTATTTGGAAAAATCATAGGTCACACCGTTACAGAAATGTCAAATGATATTGTCTTCCGTCGACAATTTCATGGAATAAATTCTTCTGATATTTATAAATCTATAAGTTCCCTGAAAATGCCATAACATATTAAGAGAACATTCTTTGATGGACCAGCCCATTTCTAGCCTGCTTATCCTAGCAACCCAACAGGATTCATCAAATATGTTACAAAGACACTATCCAAACAGAAGAAAGGAAGTAGCCCACAAAGCAAACTTGATAGGAACCAAGTATAAACGATAAACTGTGTTTTTCGGATAGAACAGAAACAGAACATAGTAATTTATAAACTACGATTGTAGCATCTCAAGATTGAAGACCGGAAATATTACAACAATAACAAAGTACAACAATGAACAAATTGTAATGAAATTTGTTTAGATTTCAGAACTTTGAAGACCATTACAGAATAATATAAGCAACCTAAAAGTGTAACCAGAAAAAATAAAAAATAAAACCAGTTAAAAGAGTACTATACATTGTTCATTAAAAAATTATATTACTGTCTGATGTAATCATGATTCATGCTAAGCAATTGCTTATATCATACACATGATGTTGCATAAAATATTGTTATTATATTCGATGATTGAAATTTCGTACCGTATCAGAGTTTCGAGATTCGCTCGAATATATATATATCATTTTCTGTGACATCGCCAAGGCAATGCCACAGAGAAACGATTTCTGCGACGTCGCCAAGGCGACATCACCGCTCTTCTCCCCGCGACGCCGAGGATTCTTCCCATGCAAATGAGGAGAAGTCACCGACAAACGAGAAGGGAGAGCGGCGCCAACTCCACGTTCTCTTCTTCTCCCTTTTCTTTCTTCCCTCGGTTACTACCACCCTTCTCTTCTTTCTTCTCCCTCGGTCACCGCCTTGTCACGAACGGTCGTCGTGCACCCGCAACAACATCGTTCAACGAACCGTTCGTCGCTTTTGCATACATGTACAGATGCTTGGCAACATGTTTTGTCTTAGTTTTGTGTGTTTTTGTTTGTAAAAATGCATGTTCGAACAGGTTGTAGTGCTACAGTAGGACCGCTCGCTACACTGGGCAAAACTGCCCCAAAATGGTTCCGTTTTCGCGTGCCACGGCCTATTTTCTACAGATCGTAGCTGCACGCAAAACGTCATCTATCTCAGCACCCTAGAACCCCCTGGGTGGCACCATGGGGGATGGGGCTTCGATATAGTGTCGAGCGTTAAATAATCTTCGTAAGTTCGCACGTTAATTTGACGGGAACTTGCTTTCGCATCCGGCACCCGATGAGCAGTTGTTTGTGGACTTGTAACTGTTCGTTCTACCTTCTAAAGTCTTTGTTTTCTCCTTCCTCTCTTTTCTCTCTTGCACTCAAGGTGCTCACCGAATTGCTTGTAAAGTTTCCCGCTTCGCAAGACATCGGGACTTGTCCGTCGCTCGTTTTCAATCAAATCAACTTTCTGTTTTACAGATCCTTCGAGACCTGTGCGAGGTTACAACTAGGCTGACCCTTTGTGGATGCATATGTCACACTAGCGCCTAATGACTTAGGCAATCCCAGATAAGTCCAAGGAGTTGGCGTAAGGGTGCTTCACGACTTAGGCAACTCCAGCTAAGCCTGTAACTTTGCTGCAAGGGTGCCTCACGACTTCAGCAATTTCATCTAAGTCCGTGACAACCTGAGGTGGAAACAGCCCCAATCGATGGTACCACCCGATAGCGAGCAATCCGTGTACCGGTCTACTAGCAGATCGATACGTACTGCTTGGTACGAGCGGTATTATTCGAAATTAAAAACCTTGATTCTATTTATATGGATCAAGTATTAGTTATTCATCAAGACCATTGAGTCATAATGTTATGGCAATAACAAATCAGTCAACATTTTTTAAAATGTTAATCCAACAAAAGAAATTCGTCGTGGTACAAAATGAAGAATTAAACTAATAAAACAAGTGAACACCACTTGGATTGCAAGATGTAAATGGCATTGATCCAAAATCCACCTGATAAAGAAAATGCACAAGCTCAGATATTATAGGTATTGCCAACGAAAAGGAGTCAGCATTAATCAAATTGATAAAGGGTCATTACTTCAACATTATGAAGGCACATTAGATTTTACAGCCTTTACAGTTTTAAGATCTTTTAATCCAGTATCGGCAAGGTCAAGTGCCATAAGAATATGAAAAATCACACCCATCCAGAGAGGAGGTAAAATTCGTCCGAGGCAAAAAAGAAAGCAAGAAGACTTAAGATTTAGAAACCAGACACAAATTCTGAACATAAACTGGAATCTCAGCATGACCAAACGCAGCCCCCAGCTTGATGCTCATTCAATGGGTACATGTAGCTGGTTGATATAATTTTATGAATCATTAATAATAAGGATATTCTGAAAATAAAATATCGAGGCAAAACATGTCATGACTTATTTACTTGTTTGCCTTCTTCCAATTCAGATATCCACACAAGTAGTAAAACACAAATATGCAACTAACTACAAGCACAATATAGTAAGTGGATTCTAGTCTACTCAACAGTTAGCTCCCTACAATTTGAATTCAATATATTGTGCAGAAGCGCAAGATTGCATCCATGAGTGCAACACGATGATTACAGAATCCAACTATATGCCATAAGCTACATATAAATGTATATAAATCTGGACCATCAAGTGCAAGATTAGCCACTTGTAGAAAAAGTCAACAACTAGAACACGCAAGAAGAGTATGATGGCATGCCTCCTAATTATTAGTGACAGCTTTCTTGTTCACAAGTTATTTTACTCAAAATTTTAAATGCATATTTATGTGGACACGAACCAAGATAACCTATCTTGGAATGCAAAAACTTGAAGCAGTTACCTCGAATATACTTCTAGATTTCAAGCAGTCCCCACAAAGACCACAAACATCAATCATAGCTCGCCAAGCAAACATGTTCATACCACCTGACTTTGCTTTGAAAATTTCAAAAGCTTTTATAGCAGAACCAATGTCATGCTTCTTTCCGAATTCCTCTAATATAGAGCAGAACAAAAGTTGGGAATGTGAAAAAACACTTGCATACCTGAAAAACCATATACTACACTATTAAATAGCAACTATGGTCTAACTTAGAAAACTCGAATTCAAATGATCAAAGTTGCTCTACAAAAGCAGCAACTGTAGATAAAAAATTAAACATGATGACAACAGTTAGTGTTACAGTTTGTATACAAATGAGCAGTTAAGCATACAAGACCAGCAACAGTAAACTTTGCAGAAAGCGCACCAAATTTCAGATGAGTATATACCACAGTGTAGTATTATTGGCACAACATATATCTATCTTCTCAAGGCTACGAATTTAAAAATATCATCACATTTGTTGAATATTTCAAACGTACAGTTGGACTAATTTGTATGACCATAAATACATTGAACAAATCTTCAAAACCCTTTTATCATCTAGGTTTGATGGTACCATTTTCTATTTTGTAGGGCAAATGGGCTTGACAATCAATATGATATAGTATTGATAGTGTATCAAAAGTCCACCATGGATTTCAACTATTTGTGATATCTTGGCCTCTAATGTTTCATTTTCTAAAACCTTAATGTGCAAAAGTTACCTCCATTTAAATCAAAATTTGTTCCATCGTGTTTGACCATAGGCTTTGACCTTCTCTAAGGAAGATAGGTCGCACAAGCCTGAATGATAGGATTCTAAGCTAATGAAATCTGTATTTCATGAGCAATAAAAGTCAGATATTCAAATTGAACACTTTATTAGGTCACTCCAGCTCTTCTTTCAGGAATATAAACATATTAACTTAAAATCGTCATCCTTAGACTTTCAATTCAGCATATGGAATGAGGGTAAAGTGCCTTTGACATGTCATGTCTCCAAGTGTACATCATAATCAAACTTTTTTGCTTCATGTATGTACGCGCGAGGACTATCATGGCTTTAATCTTGTGCCTCATTGATTAGGGATAATCTAGCACATTTCGAGCCAAACTCCAATTCAACCCAAATGAAGTTTCAATCAGACTCCAATTTGATCCCATCAAATCAAGCAAAGATCAAGCCCAATCTCAACCATTGAACCAGATTGCTGCTCATCCAAGTCACGTCCAATCTCAGCCGTTGAAGCAAGAGGTGACTTATCCAAGTCAGCCCCACATCAGCCCAACACATGGCCAAATCCTAGTCCAACAAGGACTTGGGCTCAAGGTCTGCGAGGCCTATTAAGATCGCAGATTGCGTGGGTGAAAGGGAGCCGTGCACAACTCCAAGAGTCATACCATTGCCCAATCTCAAAGGAGTCCCAATCATGTCAGGATTCCTCCAAACGCAGCCTATATGGGATCGCTGCCTTCTCAACACACGGAAGAAAACCCCAGCCCCTCGTGAGAAGCCAGATCACAGGAGAAATCAGGATTCTTCCTCCCGTTAGCACCCTACAGCAGCAGAATTCTACTGCAAGGAGGGATACTTTCCGTCAATGGCCACCAAAGATCCTTCCTCAGGTTGTCCCAACAAGATCCCTCGACCACCAACTGATCTAGAGCCTGCTCTAGTCAAGAGAACCAGAGGAGAAAGCAGTGGAAGTATTGTTGCCCAGAATCAAGCCACCAGCGTCCCTGTTTTGGGCTGCTAACCAGTGCAGGCCCTCATCTTTGTCCCATATAGCATGCAGAAGGCTTCAACATCTTCCTAACCCTCTGTCATAGCCTCAGGAGGAGGTCTTAACAGCGGAGAACCTAGCAGAGCAACACCCAAGCCAACAGCAACAGATTCTGCCAAGAGATACTCTTTCAGCCTGCGACAAAATTTTGCAATAAAGAACCCATTGCAGAACAGCAGCTTCGTCTTCATCCTTGACATACAAAAACGCAGCAGAAAGGGAGAACCGGCAGCAACCTGCATTCTGCCAAGAGTGATCTGTCCGTGCTTGTTGAGCAAGAACTTCTGAGCAATCGTTACTTGAAAACTCTTTGCTTTAGTTTCCTATTTTAGGCACTTTAAATTCATAGCAATAGTAGATTAATTTCCTCTTTCTACGTTGTGTTTATTGCAACAAATGTTCAACTCTTCTATCAAAACTTTCATCTGAGATGCGGTATCCGATTGACAGATCATCGAACTCGAACCCCATACAATGCCAGAGCAACGATCCCTTGCATGTTGATGGTGACCATAAGGCAAGGATACAAAGCCTCTGGAAAAGAACTACAAGAGTTGGAGTTCGAGTCGTGCTCACAAACCACCGTCAGGATGACAGCCAACATCCAAATAATATTGGTTGACCTTACTGTTGCAAGCCCAAGCCAACCCTACCCCGAAGGATGACCAAGCAAAGAATGACGCAGCAAAGGAGAGAGAGTCATCTCCATCCAAGACACAACCACGAAGAAGATGTTGTCAAACAGGACATCGCAGCACGAACTCGACTGTTTTAAGTCGAGGCTCACATCAACAGACCCTCCTACAACGGCTCAATCAACGTTGACGTATTAAACTCATGGATAGATCAATTCGAAACTTGCTTTGATCTAAGGTATATAGTTTCGAATGATACCAACCAGTACGGGCGGTACGTATCGGTCCGACAGTAAACCGATAGGCGAACCGCTCGCTACCGAGTGATTTTTTTTATTTATAAATAAATATTATATATATATATATTTATTTATTTATTTATTTATATATATATATATAAAGGCGATGTCGCCTCATTTTTCTAGGCGACGTCACCTCGTTTTCACCCCGCCTGAGGAGAAGAGAGGCGACGTCGCACCTTTTTTTTTTTAACTTTTATATATAAATATATATATAAATAGATATATAAATAAAAGATTATATATATATATATATATATATATATATATA